TTTCCGCAAGTTTATTGTTTTCTGTTTAGTATTAAATTTATAATTAAGATCCAATTATTACATCGGTGATCCGTTTATTTGGCAATCGCCAATGGCAGTCAGCAGGGTTTAAGAACATTTGTTGTTCTACCTGTTAGTCAAATGCGTTTTGTTAAAATATACTTTTTCACTTTTTTGGTCTTTTGGAAAATGTTGTTTGTGCTGTATTTAGACCGTTATAACAAGAAATTTGTTTTGCATGCACACGTATGAAAATTGCGGTTTTTATCCAACGCAATCATAGGTTTGAACGTTGTTTTCAATTTAGACTTGTTTATATTTTTTCGTTTGGGCTTGTATTATATTTGCCTTCGGGTTTATATGATCCGCTCATCCTATTTTGACTCCTCAAATTTCAAGAGTAAATTCTAAATTGAGGTAAATTGTAAGGCTTTCAAAATACCGTTTCGATTCCTAACATCACTGAAGAGACATTAATTGTCGAAATCCGGATATGGTGTACAAAAACCTTTGCACCTTTTGTTTGCGGTATATCATCTTTTCCGCAAATTTATTGTTTTCTGATTAGTATTAAATTTATAATTAAGATCCATTTATTGCATCGGTGATCCGTTTATTTGGCAATCGCCAATGGTAAATAGCAGGATTTAAGAACATTTGTTGTTCGACCTGTTAGTCAAATGCGTTTTGTTAAAATATACTTTTTCACTTTGTTGGTCTTTTGGAAAATGTTGTTTGTGCTATATTTAGACTCCTCGAACAAGAAATTTGTTTTGCAAAGTTTTAATAGTTTCCGCTTCTGAAAACTTTTTTGAAAAGTTCCTATGTTGATAGCCCCTTCTCTTCAAGCGGATTTCGAGTTGAATCAGTCGTTTTTTAGTTGTTTCTGTGTTGAAACATATTTGCTTGACTCTGAGTGCCTGACTGTTCGGGATGCCCTTAGTACAATGCGCAGGATGGCAACTTTAAGGGGACAGGCATTGGCGAGTATCAGTAAGCTTAGAATATAGGTCTGTGGATATAATGCCATCTGTTAGTTAGCTGGAAGTATCGAGGAAGGTGATTTCGGATTTAGATCTCTCATGAGTTAATTTGATACTTTGATGTATGTTGTTGGCAAGAGTGATGAATGTGTCTAAATCCTCGTCACTTTTATTGCATTTCATATCCACATAATCTATAAATCTAAACCAGGAAAGCGGTTTTTCGATTGGAGATTCAAGGAGTTGTTTTTGTAATTTGCCCATTTGTTCTTTAGTACATGCGTGAGCATTTTGACCAGTCATTCAGTAGGTGGATTTTTTACTGGTCGGGAATCCCAAACTGCGTTGCAGGCATCAATGCCGTCTGCATGTGGAATATTCGTGTAGAGGGAGGTGACGTCCATAGAGACATGTGTCGTGTCGGAATGAAGAGGATTTAAGGCCTGCATTTTTCTAAGATTATCGATTGTGTCTTTGATGTGAGATGGTAAGTCTTCAACATGTTGACGAAGATGGAAGTCAATGAATTCCGAATTATTTTCTGTCGGATGACCGTTCGCTGATACGATAGGTCTTCCTGGGTTATTGGCCTTTTAGTAAAAAATAAAATCTGCCCGGTTTTGGATTTTTTGGTTTCAAATATTCAAGATTTTTTTCATCGATGAAACCATCGTCGTGCATTTCTACCAAACTATCAATTATTTCTCTGCTAAAAGATGTTGTAGGATCAGAGTCTAGTTTTCAGTTGAACCTTGCATCGCCATGTTGTCGTTCATCCTATTGAATGTAGGCAGATATATCAATGATAACCACTGCACTGCCTTCGTCTGCAGGTTTAATAACGATATTGTTGTTGGATCGTAAGTTTTTCAGTGCAGTTCGTTTCTTCATGGGTTCTTCATGGGTAAGATAGTCAAAAGGTGTATTGTTTTCTCTGGTATTTCTAATAATGTCCGACTTAACATTGTCAATAAATGATTCCAAGGTGGCATTTTTGCTCGGTTTGGGGATCCAAGTACTTTTTTTGATGAATTTATAGTTGTTCTCGTCTTCTGTCGCTATCCGAGCTTCCGTTGTTATTTTCCTTCGACGCGAAATATTCCTTAATGCAGAGACTTCTTACAAAATTGTCAAGGTCTCCCAACAATTTAGTTTCATTGATAGGGCAGGTAGAGGTTAGAAGTTTAGGCCTCTTAAGAAAGCTGAATTTTTAGTTCAGTGTTGGTGACTGAGTGGTCTAGAGCGCTGGACACAGTGCAAGCGGTGTTGTCTCGATATTCCAATAGCACGAGTTCGAATCCCGGCGAGTGAAGAACAAAAATTTGCTTCCGCAAAATTGCAGATTTAACATTGTTGTTCTGTTATTTAGAGTATTTATGAATATGATATGTGTTTTCAGTCGTGTATCACCTTCACTGGTGATCCAATGGATTGATCTGTCGTAGAGTTGTCAATTGTTTAGACGTACATATCATATAATTATTTCTGTGACTGCATCTTACGATCCTTTAAGATATATAATTTAGCTAATCTGCAATCAATTCCATCTGCATGCCTTATATATCATGTATTGTGCTACAACTCTAGATTCTACTGACAGGAAAGGTAACACTAGACCACCGGAAGCTGAATTTTTAGGTTTAGTCTAGGTGACCGAGTGGTCTAGTGCGCTGGACACAGTGCAAGCGGTGATGTCTCGATATCCCAATAGCATGAGTTCGAATTCTGGCGGGTGATGAACAAAAATTTGCTTCCGAAAATTTGCAGATTTAACATTGTTGTGCTGTTATTAAGAGTAATTATGAATATAATATGTGTTTTCAGCCGTCTATCACATTCACTGGTGTTCCAATCGATGGATCTTGCGTAGAGTTGTCACTTGTTTAGACGTACTTATCATATAATTAGTTCTGTTACTGCATCATACGGTCCTTTACGATTAATGATTTAACTATTTTGACGTTTTATATATTATAAATATACCTCAATGGCATGAGTTCGAATTCCGGAGAGGGAAGAACAAACATTTGCCACCGCAAATTTGCAGATTTAACATTGTTGTGCTGATATTAAGAGTAATTATATATATTTATTTCTCTAATTCTATGGAAATTTATCCCTTTCCGAACCCATTGTATAAAAAAATTTAATCAACGTGTGGTTGCCAGTGATCTCAGAAGATGATTGGATGAGTTTAAGGGTCATAACCTTTCTCAGCTCACTGGATGCATCAAAATATGCTAACAGGTGTTAATGAAATTGACAACTTTATGCAAAGTGGAAGGCACTCGAAGGGGATTTTGGTTTAGCAAAAAAGGAAAATTTATTTTTTAATCATTAGAGAAACAGATTCTTACATAGTTACTCGTGGATTATCGGATTTATCCAATCTCGATAGTTAAATTATAAATTTTAAAGTCCTCGCCGAGGCTCGGACTTTAAAATTGATAATTTAACTATCTCGATTGGATAAATCCGATGATCCACTGGTATCAATGTAAGAATCTATATATATATATATATTAAATGTATAAAATCACGAACTTACACGAAGAGAGCAAACAATCGAAAGAACAATGTACGTTACGGTGTAAATCAACAAGTTTTTTAATTTTTTTTTTATAATCATCCTTCACGTGAATTTGATAAATTTGCTTCGTTTAAAGATGTTTTGATAAAAGTTTCTTTAATAACTTTATCTCAAATAATGATAATTTATTGTAGTGATTGATTAAGAGAACTGGACATTATTGTGTCGAGAGTTAAAATTGAGAATGGAAATGGGGAATGTGTCAAAGAGACAACAACCCGACCATAGAGCAGACAACAGCCGAAGGCCACCAATGGGTCTTTAATGCAGCGAGAAACTCCCGCACGCGGAGGCGTCCTTCAGCTTGCCCCTAAACAAATATGTATACTAGTTCAGTGATAATGGACGTCATACTAAACTCCAAATTATACACAAGAAACTAAAAATAAAAATGATACAAGAATAACAAAGGCCAGAGGCTCCTGACTTGGGACAGGCGCAAAAATGCGGCGGGGTTAAACATGTTTTTTGAGATCTCAACCCTCCCCCTATACCTCTAACCAAGGTAGAAAAAACAAACGTACAACAGTACGCACAGTAAAACTCAGTTTAAGAGAAGTCTGAGTCCGATGTCAGAATAGAAAACAAAAGAAAATAAACAAAATGACAATAATACATAAATAACAACAGACTACTAGCAGTTACTGTTTTAAAGAAGTTTTTTGTGCAAGTATTTCATCTTGTAAATCGAGGAAAAAATTGTCTCTGCCTAAAACATTTACAGAATATAAAAGGTGAAAAATTGTACAGTTAAACGCCAATGTACATCAACTGACGATAAATATAATGAAATAATGAATGAATTAAATATTTGAACAAACTGAAGATTTTAATTTGACGTTTTAAAGCCGTTGAAACTTGGTAACGTGTATTCAACAGAAAGTACTATCGCTGAGAAAGGAAATGAATTCATATAGGTGTGTAATGACAAAATAAAAACTATTTCTTTTAAGCTGATTCTTTAACATAGTTTCAAATCAGACCGATATTTCAATGTAAAGAGATGCTGTTGATGACAATTTGTTAATACTTGATAACGAGGAAGAGAAAGGGAGAAGATACTAATGATAAGGGATGAATACTAATGTATGTCTAATACAAAAAGGCAACACCACGGTCAAAAAAAAAAAAAAAAAAAAACACTAATCGACACACACAAAAAAACCCACTATAAATTGAAAAATTGATATGTCGATCATGGATGAGACCATTTTTATTGGCATTTAAAATATCATTATAAGTATAGAATTGACCTGTACAAATTATATAACTGCAAACTCTACCATGACTGCCTCGGCTCATTTCAACAATCCCTAGACAATTATTACAGCCCTTGGACATACAGCAGGGCTATTATGAAAATATCTATCAATTAATACTATATCATGATATTCATAATATTGTAATATCAAGCAAATTATACTCACAGTGAAAAATAACAATGACTTTTACTAACGTCAGACTTCCAACACTATTTGTAGCAGAACATTGGTAATTTCCCGCCTTATTCTGTGCAATGTGTTTAAGATTCATTACAGATGTAGTGCCATTAGCAATATGTGGTCCACTCCATGTCACTGAACAGTCAGGTTTACAATCAGCTGAACAAATAATGGGACCAACACTTTCGTTTTTCTCAGTTACAGTGTAGATCGGAGTTGATGGAGAAATGTTGAGCTTGCGAGGACCATCTGTAAATAATATATTTCAAATATGAGCAGAATGCTGACATTAAGGTATAATGTACAAAACAATTCATTGTTTGGCTTTATTGCAATACATAAGCCAATATTGAATACATGCGATATTTTGAAAATAATTATAATATGTTTGAAACACGCTGGAATGAATTGTATTCAAGCTATTGTCATTGTTTTAAAATATTATAGAACTATTAAAATACAAATTCAAATGAGCGATACATGGTAATTTGGGCTTATATTAATATGTCTACATGTCTAACATGTAGTTCTAAGATTATTTAACATTTCTTGTTGATTTTTGCTGACACTTCCATTTAGCATTACCAAGTGTATCCCTATACATCATTTCATTAAGATTTCCATTCAACCTTTGATAGACATTGAACAGCGTACAGCGACAAGTATGTTAGGTTGTATTTGGAAGTCCAGTTAAACCAGCAGATATTTTACATGTATGTACAGCTTCAAATCATAGTATCGCACAGAGTTAAAACCTTCTGATAAATGAATGGAATGGAACTTTTTTGAACAGTTAATGGAAATCAAATGATAATACTTCTCACATACTATATTAAAAACATATGTAAATAACAAAATAAATTGATAAACCACGCCATTACACAACTGACAAAACCTTAGGCAAGCACACAACACTTTTATAGCTATTATTCATCTCAAATTCATAGTGAGACCATCAACCCGAAGCAATTGCGAATATTTTAATGAAACGTTAAAGACAGCCGATGGCATCACTTGGAGCAGAAATAATTGCTAGATGTCGATAAAGCTACACCTGTGCATTGACGAATTCAACAGATGTGAAGGTAAAGTGTACAAGAAAGGACAAAAGAAATCTAATAAATGTCATATGAAATGAACATGTCATTGCATTTATGAGCAATATGATGTAAGCATATTGAAAAAAGAATAAACTAAACAGATCGTCATCGGGTATTATCATAGCTAAAACACTGTTTACCAATAGTTTCCTGTATTTAGGCCATAAGTTCCCCAACTGATGTGGTTTTTCATATGGTAAAAATTTTCCAATATCATAGGTAAAAATTTTCCAATATCATAAATATTACTACTTAGTACATGTATACGTTATACCACAGAAAGGTTAAAATCCGAAAAGAAATATACAGATAGGGACGGAAAATATCATGTAAATGCAATTTGATATACTATTGAAATTATATAAAGCAAATACCTAACAAAATAGTAATAATAATCATCTTTCAAAATATCATTCTATGTTCAATTTCAATTAACTATGTTTGTTGATTTGCTGGAACAAGTTCATCGTCGGACATATTGCGTTGCTATCTCAATTAGTCATACCACCAATTATTTTATTTATAAAAAGGAGAAAGTATTATACACGTAAGATTTTTGTTAAACTGAAAATTTAGTTTTATCATAACAGTTTTCAAAATTAAGTTAAATTTATTGATGACTTGATTTTTCGTTCTTCAAATGCAACTTTAATCCACTAACATGTGTTTTCATGACTGTACAGATGTAGGTTGCCCTTTGTAAATACAGCTGTTTCACGGACCACGCCACTTTGTGGGGGATATATAATATAGATATTTTGTTTTGTTTACCTACTGGTTCCCAGATATAATCTCTATTTGTGTCTCGTAGACATAACTTGGGTATATTACCAGTATAAATACACATGAATGGTGGCCAAATTGAAATCTGTGGAACACCCAAAGTGAAAAGAGGGGTAGTACAGAATTTTCATATATTTTTAAACTCTTAGAAGTTTGGGACATACAAATGTTAAAAATATGCCGCACGCCGTATATGTTGACCTTTGGAAAAAATGTAGTGCATATAAGCTTCCCATTCCAGGATATAATTTTTTACGAAACTTCATAGTAACAGTTGTACAATTTTAGCCGTAAATGGAGTTCCTATGGGAAATTGCATTGTTAATAATTACAGAATTGCAACGTATATCAGGTGAAAAAAAAGAACATGCAGTATTTCACCAAATTTGGTTTATCTTCAGATTCTTAATGAAATTAAACAAATATAAAGTTTTATAAATATTTCATGAAGATTGAGAAAATCCAGGGCCTTTACTATGATGACTCAGCATAAATTCACAGTTTACAATATGCATAGTTTACCTAAAGCACTATTTCCAAAATCAATTTCATAGTATATGCACATTTGTAATTTAAATTGTTAAGCAGTGCTTATATTTACACTTCGCAGACATTTAAACTCATAGATTCTAGATGAATTTTGTTGTTGGGGTGTTTTTGTCCTGTCCAAAACCCAAAAAGTAAGCCGTAACACCTGAATGTGCTTCCTTGTGACCGCGGCATTAAAAAAAATAGGCTGGAGACGTCTTTACACTAAATCCATTGGATGTTGGATTTGTACTGATTGATGATTAAGTCTTAGATGCATGATTTTTTTTATTAGTTGTTGTTGGCTTTGAACTAGCTGTCAGTAACTGCGAGTACTCTCAGATCAGTACTTAGTGTCTTTTTATTGTTGGGATGTACAAGTACCCGGCTACGTCCACTCAGTGCTTTTGTTAGATGTATTTCTATTTGTATCCATCTAATGAGTTGAGCCTTTTTCAACTGATTTTTATAGTTCTTTCTTATGTTGTACTATTACACTACTGTCCCAGGTTAGGAGGAGGGTTGGAATCCCGCTAACATGCTTGACCCTGCCACATTCTCTATGTAAGTGCCTGTCCCAAGTCAGGAGCCTGTAATTCAGTGGTTGTCGTTTGTTGCTGTGTTACATTTTTGTTTTTCGTTTATTTTTTTGTACATTAATTAGGCCGTTAGTTTTCTCGTATTAATTGTTTTACATTTTTTTTATTTCGGGACCTTTTATAGCTGACTAAGCGGTATGGGAATTGCTCATTGTTGAAGGCCGTACGGTGACATATAGTTGTTAATTTCTGTGTCATTTGGTCTCTTGTGAAGAGTTGTCTCTTTGGCAATCATACCACATCTTCTTTTTTTATAGAGATACAAAAATACATCTGAGTCAGTAAAACTAACAATAGTTTGTTCTTTTTTGAAAATGTATTTAATATTTTCTAATTCAAAGAGCAAAATTAATTTGCAAAATTGAGAGCCCAGGGGAAAAAAAAGAGAATCATCCCTAGCCTCTGGGTAATGAAACAGGTAATTTAGCCTGTAAAGACTATGATTTTATTATTATAAAGGTCTTTTGTATAGGAAACAATAACTGTGCTTTGGATCTATGCAAAAAACAGATGCCATTACTCAGTTCTATAAAACGTTTAGTGAATTCATATGTCAGACTGGTGAATCATACATACAATTTTTGCAAATATGGCTTTCAAATTGTTTAAACACTTCAATTCATATATTAGCCAAATTATTTCATGTACATAGTAAGAGATAATATTATTGTGACAAGATTTGGAAACTGACCATTTGAGGCAGAAATAGCCATACAGTAAGATGTAAAGTGGAGACAGAGGCAAAGTTGGATACTTTATATAATTCTGAGTGTTGTAATGATTAACTACTAAACTTTACATTTATAGTATTCTAAGATGTTTTTAATTTGTTATCAGAATAGTTTCATAATGGATGGTTTTTTATGTCAACAAATATGCACATAGGGTAAGCTGACATAAATAAAAGTCTTGTTTTCATATTTTTTAAGAATTGAAACACGGGGGGTATAAAATGTACTGTAAAATAAAAGTTAGAGCATATTTAGTGATTTCTTTTAGACTATGATTCTGGTAAATAACTGTTGTTGTGAGAAAATATTTTTTTTCAAGATTTGTCTATTTTAATAAATGTTAGTATAGATTGCACTTTATAAATACAGCGATTTAACAAACAACTTCTCTTTTTTTGGGGGAGATATATAATATTCATAGATATTTTGTTTTGTTTACCTACTGGTTTCCAGATATGATCTCTATGTTTAATCTCGTAGAGACATAACTTGGGAATGTTACCTGTATAAATACACATGAATAGCGGCCAAATTGAAATCTGTGGAACATCCAAAAAGGAGGGAGGGGTGGTACAAAATTTTAGTATAAGTTTAAACTCTTAGAAGTTCGGTGTATATAAATGTTGAAAATATGCCGCACAGCCCTATATTTTGACCTTTGAAAAAAATAGTAGTGCATATAAGCTTTCCATTCTACGGTATATTTGTTTTACGAAACTTCATAGTAAAAGTTGTACAGTTTTAGATTTTAAGATTACCTTAGTCGTATTTGCCACAACTTTTTGGAATTTTAGGTCCTCAATGCTCTTCAACTTTCTACTTGTTTGGCTTTATAACTATTTTGATCTGAGCGTCACTGATGAGTCTTATGTAGACGAAATGCGCGTCTGGCGTATTAAATTATAAGCCTGGTACCTTTGATAACTATTTAGCCGTAAAAGGAGTAACTATGGGACATTGCATTGTCTATATTTACAAAATTGCAACCTGTAGTAATATGTATTCATGTGTTTGCTCTTCTGTTTTTGAGGGTAATCAATATTATATCAGACCGTAAAAGTTATCGGAATTTTAGATACACAAAACCAGGTACTTCATATCTGAGAAACAGGCAATATATGCCTTCCAATTTTTTTATTCATTCATACTATTTTGTATTATTTAAAATTATCTGTCAAAATGTGTTCTGCAAGGACCATCAGTCCTTCAACTTTCATTCGATATCTAAATTACCAACATATGTTCTACTTAGTTTGATATTTACATCTATGCGTAGGAACTATTTTGTTTTACATATGTTCTACTTTCCAGTATGTTCTTTTTAACCAGTCGGATTTGGTGGTGTAACATCTTACAAAGTATAGCAAAAATATTTTGCCGTCTGAAACTCACATTAAAGGTGAGACTTTTTTTTTTTGGGGGGGGGGGGGGGGGTTGTGCTAAAGGCCTCACAGGGACTTTGAGATGCAGACATGCTATAAAAGTGCTATTCCTTTGCTGTTTGTGTGTTTTTTGCTTTGCATGTACTGATTTTGTATCATGGCTGGATACCCCATATCCTTCATTTCTGTTGAAATTATATTTTAATTTTTAAAAACGAAATCAATGTTAGTACCGATGTATACACTATATATAATTTTACAACTGTGTTTAATTGATAACATTGACGAATAAGTGTATTCATTAGAACAATTACTTTAAATGGATCGTTTCTGAATTTACGGACTATATAAACAACATCTTCGTAAAAATTATTATGTGATAACCTACTTTAAAAAAAAAAATCAACAAGTACTGCCGAACTTTCTAATCAAGTCTTTGTATCTATGGAAAGAATTTGTTAAAGGTTTTAATTGATTTGTTGTTACGAGATTCCTGAGTTCTAAATTTTCCGGTAAGACATTAATTACGTTTATTAAAATTTAAAACGCGACTTCAGACCATAAAACGGATCCAAATGAGCATTACCGTAAAAAAAAAGGAAACTTCTTTGACACAACCCTGGTTCATCAACTTTCTGCTCAGACACTGGTGACGTTTTATAAAGTCTGAGTAGTAGCTGCAAGTTCTGCATGGCCACCAATGGGTCTTCAACACAGCCAGCGAGAACATCCTGCACCCAGAGGCGGGCTTCAGATGGCCCCTTAAAAAATGTATACTTGTTCAGCGAACATGGACGTCACACTAAACTCCAAAACATATAAATGAACCAAAAAACATGCAAAAATAACAAAGGCCAGAGGTTCCTCACTTGGGACAGGACCAAACATGCAACGGGGTCAAACATGTTTTGTGAGATCTCAACCCACCACCTATACCTCTAGCAAACGTGGAATAAAATAACACACAGCAATACGGACAGTACAAATCAGTATAACATACGTCCGAGTCCAATGCAAGATAAAAAAACAGAAGAAACTCAGCAAAATTACAATGATGAACATAAATTAACAAAGTACTACTAGCAGTTACTGATGACATGCCAGCTCTAGACCTAAATTAAACTGATTGAATGATTATGTCTCCTTCATATAAAAGTCAAGCACAAGATGTATATCAAATATGCAGGTGTATGGAAGGAAAAATCCGCAATAATTAAACATTTCTTAATTTTTAAAATGCAATTTCTTAACTTGTAACATGCGCCTTAATTTGTTAAATGTAATTTCTTTATTTGTTACGTGTGTTTTTTCCATCCGTTACATGCATTTTTACATTTCTTGATTTGTAAAATATAAATTCTTAATGTGTAAATGCAATTTTTTTCATTTGTTAAAGTATTTTCTTCGTTCGTTACATGAAATGCTAAATTTCCTAATTCTTGAAATGTAATTTCTTTGTTTGAGTCCCATTTTGGAGAATGTGTCAGTGTAATTGTTTTCGCAGCCAGCCAATGAGAAACTCCGTTTCTCAAGAAAAACTACAAGTTATAAATTAACAAGTTTCAAATCAACAAGTTTTACAAATCAAGAATGAAATAGTTCCACAGTAGACCACGCGGGGTCTCTGTAGATCCATGTCAACTCGTACCTTTGCCAACTCGTACTCAACCAGCTCGTACCCAAGATTTAGTAACTCATACCGAATATCTTTATTATTTATACGCATTAAAGTTGCCATGTTCTTTAATATAATATAGAAACATACAAATACAATAAAGTACAACTGTATTGATTGGTAATCTGATACATGACACGACCCCAATAGGGTCTTGCTCTAGTGAAACCCTATCTAGCAAAACACAGCGACCGGAACCGTCCCCTCGTCCACCGAACGCAAATGTATCACCGACTTCTGCCGTTTAAGGGGTTGGTGCAAGAGGACTATCTAAAAAGTAATCGTCCAGCTGTAATGGAACTGTTAATAGTGAATATCAATTGAACAACGATAGCTTAAAGTTTTTTTCTTAAATGTTTGTGGGTTGAAGAAAAGACTGATGTCTCCGGATTATATTGACATTTTACTAGGACATGTTATCTGTATTTTTGTTGAAACGATGTTAACTCACTTAAATAATTTCAATTAACCAACCAGACGAATATATTTATTTTTTTATACTATTTTTAATTCCTGTGCTGGATTTGTCGCTTAAAAAAGATTCGAAAGGTGCCTTCATAAATAAACTATCTATATATAGACAAATCTTTTGAAACACATGGTCAACGCAAAATTTGTTCTAGTTAAGCTATATATGCAGGCCTTTCTGATCTTTTATAAGCAATAAAGTCAGCACAGGAAGTAAACATAGTCCTAAGGTGTTTACATATATACAGTGATTTAAATACTAAACACATACGAACCATATAACAAATGTAAGATCATACATTCCCCCCCCCCCCCCACCCCAAGCTTGGCGTTTACAAAGGTAATAAGTAAAACAACAACGGACTATGGTGTTCAAAGTGTAGCAATTATTCCGAAATCTGTGTTTTCATAATTCCTACTATGTTCTTTTTCATTTAAACACCCCCATTCTATTTTGTAGTTCAGAGACTATTATCAACTAATCAGGCATGGATCTAGCCACTTTTAAAAGGGGTTCCAACACATGCAAGTCATATAAAAAGGGGGTTCAAACCATACCTCCCCATAAAAAAGCAGTACTTGTTAAACAAATAGTGGGGTTTCAACCCTCCGACTCCGAATATGCCTGTACCAAGACAGTTGTTATCCATTCGTCTGATGTGTTTGAGCTTTTGATTTTGCCATTTGCTTAAGGACTTTCCGTTTTGAATTTTTATCGAAGTTCGGTATTTTTTGTTATTTTACTTTTTACTTCTAAAGACTAATGATTAAATTAAGATATTACTGATTTGAAAGCAAATTGCATCAGATTTCCAATCAATAAAGTTGTACATTGTACTTTATTGTGTTTTGTATGTTTCTATATTATATAAAAGAACATAAAAACTTTAATGCATATAAATAATAAAATATTTGGTACGAGTTGGTAAAAGTCCGAGTTGGTAGAAGTATTAGTTTGTAAATAGTTGGTATGAGTTGGCAAAGGCAAGAATTAAAATGAATCCACAGCGACCTCGTGTGGAATATTGTGAAACTATTTCATTGTTGATTTGTAAAACATGTAAAACTTGTTGATTTGTAATATGTTGATTTATAACTTGTAGTTTTGGCAGCGGTAACAATTACACGGGTACATTCTCCCAAAACGTGACTCAAACAAATAAATTACATTTCACAAATTAAGAAATGTAGAATGTCATGAAACGAACGAAGAAAAAACGTTAACAAATGACAAAATCGCATTTACACATGAAGAAGTTACATTTCACAAATCACGAAATATATATGTTACAAACTAAGAAATAACATTTTATAAACTACGAAGTCGCATTTTACAAATTAAGAAATGTACAATTATGGCGGACATTCCCTTCCATTCAGGTGAATTTGGTATATTGCTACTAAGATGGGTGAAATTGTTAATTTCAAAATTAAAATCGTCTTGTTTGCATTTGTCATAGATTTTGGTACTGCGATGATCGGTTATGTCAAATTCGAGGTATATGTCTAAAAGGGAGGCGGAGGAAGCCGTGTCTGTTGTTTCTTTAATTTCTAGTTCTGGAGGATATATCAATGGAACCCAATCAGAAAAGTTTTGATTGTTAATGAAAAGAACATCATCAATATATCTAAACGTGAAATTAAATGATTTTACTTCTTTCATCTTCTTGTTTTTTACAATTGTCTGAAGGAAGTCCGACTCATATGAAAATAAGAAGACGCCGACAAGGAGAGGCGAACAGTTCGTTCCCATAGAACAATTTGTTGGAAAAGTCTACCTCAAAATTCAAACAAATAGCATACTGATCACTTGTTCCTCTGTGAAGCATGTTTTACCAAGTCAGGAGTATGACAGTTGTTATCCTTTCGTTTGATGTATTTGAGCTTTTGATTTTGCCATTTGCTTAGGGACTTTCTGTTTAGAATTTTCGTCGGAGTTTGGTATTTTTGTTATTTTACTTTTTACCTAAGTGACATTTGTCAGAGTTTTCCCGTTTACACAATTTTTTACATTATAATGAAATATGCCTTTTTAATGACATGACGACGCTCTTTCCAATTCAGTTTCGACGGTGGACGGTATTTTCGTGCTTATATCAGAATGTTGATCTTGAAAAATGTCGGAATACCTGTAAGTGCATGGCTATAAGTATCATATCTTAACTTCAATGAATTAGAGTTTCATGTCGAAGGTGCATTGTTTTTTTATACTGACGTCTGATGTAAAAAGTAATACGACAAAAATTCCGAACTCAAAGGAAAATTCAAAACTGACGAGTATTTAAGATTCAAATTCTACTGGGGTGTATCAATATAAGAAAGTATAGGTTTTTCGAAGTTATCAAATTATGGAGGTATAAAGTTTTGAACGGTAGAGTCATTGAAAATACTAGACAAAGACTTAATGTTAGAAAATACAATGTTATGATCTTCAAGTTTGTAAAGCGCATTATACTCACAATGAACAATAATAAGAATTGTAACAGATGTTAGACTACCAACAATATTTGCACCAATACATTGGTAATTCCCGGCCTGATTTCTGTCAATGTTACTCAGATTCAGTACAGATGTAGTACCAGCAGGAAGATTAGGTCCACTCCAGGTCATTGTACAGTAAGGCTTACAATCAGCTGAACAGGTTATTGGACCAACACGTCCTGTTGCCTCTGATACTGTGTAGGTTTGAGTTGATGGAGAAATGTTGACTTGGTTAGGGCCATCTATAATTTATATATTTCCAATTTTAGAAATATGATATCATCATGTAGTAAATGTATTTCTCACTTAAAATCAATATGTTAGATCAGTTCACAATGTGTATGTCGATATACATAAACTGGTAAAATGTTGACAAGATGATAGCTACATGCATCATTATTACGCCTTAACGTATTGTATAGTAATTTATTTTTTTTTCCACTCTTTATTTGAAGATATTATTGTCTGTACGGGTTGTAAACTGTATATATATATATATATATACACGAGAATAGTATTGTGCTTTTTTCTTTTTGCAATTTAAATACATAAACCTGTCACTCTGGGTCGTTTTTCAAATAAGAGAAATAATGAACCAAGCACAACACCATCTATGTTTACATTATGTTAACAACATGTAGGGCTTGTTACAGCTTGACATCAAAGACTGACGCATACATATGAAAACTACTACACGTGACATACAAAAACACCATGGTTGGTGTCTTGTTGTTTGTTACGTTTCTAGCAAATACATCATAAACATGATGCGCTATTACTTACTAACAACACCCTTGGTAAAACAATTCGGTAAAATGTTGATAAGCGATTGATGTATATACATATCACATGGTATAACTTGCTCAAAAACACGATAAAACTACACGAAGCTCTGAGCATTTATGTACATGAACATTATGTGCAAGAAAATGTAAGTATTTTGTAAACGTAAATTTGCTATAAGATGGTTGTGACACATTTCGAACGATAAATCCTATTGATATCAAGCATACTACCATTTTTAAAGGAGATTTGATTTATTTTCCTGAGAAATGTGCGACGAAATTTGAAAAGTAAACCGGTATAAGTTTTCCTTGAGAGCACGGGTATGAAATACAAATACTAAACTTTTACCACTTTAAATATGTCAAGAATTAGTCAAAATGTTGAATATGAATTTCAATGTGTAATTGAAAAGGTATACACCTTTTCTTATTTTTGCAGAAAGATGATTATGGTAGTCTGATCTTAGGTAAGAGTGTGCTTCTTTTGCTATGATCATCCGATTTCAATTATGTATAGATATAAGAATATGTGGTATGAGTGCCAATGAAACAACTCTCAATCCAAGTCCCAATTTGTAAAAGTAAACCATTATAGGTCAAAGTACGGCCTCCAATACGGAGCCTGTGGTCACACCGAACAGCAAGCTATAAAGGGCCCCAAAATGACAAGTGTAAAACCATTCAAACAGGAAAATCAACGGTCTAATCTATATAAAAAACGAGAAACAAGAAACACGTATGAACCACATCAACAAACGACAACCACCGAACTTCAGGTTCCTGACTTAGGCCAGGTGCAAACAAATGCAGCGGGATTAAACGTTTTAACAAGCGCCAACCTTCACCCTAACCTGAAATAATAGTATAACATAACAACATAGAAAGACACACTATAAAATATCAATTGAAATGTCTTAACTCAATCAAAAGACATATAAACAAAGACAAGTAAACTTACACTGAACGAATAAATTTGTTTTATGACACAATGTATATACAAATTGATAAAAAAAGGAAGTGAGATGTAAAACAATATCAGAAAGACAACTATTACCTTGGACAAAAGCCGTTAGATAAAATAACGTACACAGGTAAATAAAAATAATTTTGCTGTAAGGAGTACTTCTTCTCTAAGTAGATTCCTCCGATATCGGAGCACCCGTGTCACAGGGTATTAAAAGCCCTTAATTTTACTAGTATGATAATTTATTTAAAAGTAAACTAATAACAGGGGTTATATACAGTCTGGCATAAGTATTTTAATGTTTAAAATGTCTTAGAAATAGAAAGAATATACACCGAATGGAAAAAAAAACCATGATCAAGCTCTTTTTACACCTGGAGTAAATGGTACATGGAGTATGGAAATATTTTTTTACAAAATAAATAAATTTGTTGTTCATAGTACGAGAACAGAAGTGAAAACTTATCGTCATACTAAATAATTATCAAAGGTGGTATATATTAAAAAAAGTGAGACGAGATATAACACAAAATAAGTAAACATAAAATAACAAAAATGTAGTACAAATTGTATCAACAGGTCAAATTAACACGAAAGTACGATTTGAGAGTACTCCCAGTTACTGAAAGCTTGTTTAAAGCTAAAAACTATTAATAATAAAAAAGCATGCATCAGAGACTAAAATCAACTAAAACACATCCCAGGGATTTAGTGCTTTAACATCATGGACAGTCAAAGAAGACATGACTTGTGCAATGCCAAAATGAAAGTATAGGCAGGCAGTTGGATAGTTATGATTTAACCTTTAAATAATATGTATAATGTTATATATAGATAAAGTAATCTTTATATAGAAAATGCACGTGGATGTGAAAAGAATAGAAAAGAGTCACTGTGGTGAAAAGAATACAAATTTAGTTATGTTTTAATTTGTTGATGACAAAATCGATATTTGTGCCAATGTAAGCAATATTCAAAGATCTAATTACAATATTGATAAGATAACGTTTACTAATAAGTTTGTTTAAAGGTTCGATGAGTTTACACGAATCACATAGTGATTTATGCGCTTTTTAGTACAATATTAATATTACCGTACAATTTAGGATGTGAAATACCGTTTTAAATAAGTTTTCTACAGGTACAGCCAAATTTTCTAATCAAATATTTATAGTTTTGATTGATTATCATGCCTTGTGTTGAACATATCTTTCTAAATGGACTTTTCCTAGACATGATAAAATGGACTGTTACAGCCCACCTTAGCGCTAAATGGTGCAGGGCATATTCGTATGGCATATACCATGGTATCATGTATTTGATTAAAAAGGCATGTTGTATATAACGCAATCTATATGAAAAACAGAATTTCTATTTTATTCTCTTTTTTCAATGTTTTCTATTTGTGTGAACAAAATATTCCAACAACCATTTAACTGGCATGATTGTAACAAATAAATTGATGATGGTATCAAATAACACTACACAACAAAACTTGGAGAACAATCTCAAGAAATAAACACGTTTTACTTAACATGTACAAGAAACGTAGAAATTATTTGTTAACAAGTATTGGGGAAATTTCCCCATAAAGTTGATAACCAATCAGATATCAATAATTTGGGAAATTTCCCCAAAAAGATGATGACCAGCAACAAATCAATAGAATGGGGAAATTTCCCTTAAACAATGTTAACGAAAAAAAAATCAATAGAATGATAAAATCTCCCCAAAATGATGAAAACTAAAAAGAAATCAATAGAATGGTAAAATTTCCCAAAAAAGATGATAAACAACAAGAAATCAATAGAATGGGGAAATTTCCCCAAAAAGACGATAACCAACAAGAAGTCAATAGAATGGAAAAATCTCCCCAAAAAGATGATAACCAACAAGAAATCAATAGAATGGGGAAATTTCCCCAAAAAGACGATTACCAACAAGAAGTCAATAGAATAGGGAAATCTCCCCATAAAGATGATAACCAACAAGAAATCAATAGAATGGGGAAATTTCCCCAAAAAGATGATAACCAACAAGAAGTCAATAGAATGGGGAAATCTCCCCAAAAAGATGATAACCAACAAGAAGTCAGTAGAATAGGGAAATTTCCCCAAAAAGATGATAACCAACAAGAAGTCAATAGAATGGGGAAATCTCCCCAAAAAGATGATAACCAACAAGAAATCAATAGAATGGGGAAATGTCCCCAAAAAGATGATAACCAACAAGAAGTCAATAGAATGGGGAAATTTCCCCAAAAAGATGACAACCAACAAGAAGTCAATAGAAAGAAGAAATTTCCCCAAAAAGATGATAACCAACAAGAAGTCAATAGAATGGGGAAATCTCCCTAAAAGGATGATAACCAACAAGAAGTCAATAGAATGGGGAAATTTCCCCAAAAAGATGATAACGAAAACGAAATCACTAAAATGGGGAAATTTCCCTACAAAGTTGATAACCAAAAAGAAATCAAAAGTCTGTGGAAATTTCCCAAAAAAGATGATAACGAAAACGAAATCACTAAAATTTCATAACCAAAAATAAATCAATAGACTGGGGAAATTTCCTAAAAAAGATGGGAACGATACCGAAATCAATAGAATGAGGAAATTTCCTTACACAGTTGATAACCAAAAAAAATATTTAGACTGGGGAAATTTCTTCACAAAGGTTTTAACCAAATAGTTATCTATAGACTGGGGAATTATTCCCACAGAGATGATAATCAAAATAAGTTCACAGGTTTGAAGAAAATACTCATGCATAGCACAATGATTGCACATTCCGTTGTATACAACCGCGAGAAATATGTCCTCTAACAGATACTGTAAGAATAGAAAAGAGTCACTGTGGTGAAACATTTTCAGCAGCAGATAACACAATTGAAAGGAATCATTGGCTGGGGAAACATTCACACTGAAAAATTAAATAACAAACATCAGAGATAGAGATGACACAGTATAGGAAATGGGCTAATTTCCTCACAAACTCTTGTTTAACTGTAATCATGTATATCGGGGCCTTTAGTAGGCGACTAAACAGTATAGTTTTTCTCATGTTGAAGGCCGTAATGTTGCCGTTAATTGTTAAAAACCACTTAAAATGATCTTTAAGGAATAGTTGTCTCATTGACAATCATACCCGATCCCCTTATTTATGAATAGATATCAATTAACTCGTATGTTTTAATCTGTCGGGGCCTCGGTGGCTAAGTGCTCCAAGTAGTCCAACTACTGTATCACTAGCCAGTCAACGCTGAGATTATGAATTCGAAATCCGCTCGTGCAAGGTGCGCCCGACTCCAATCTTAATTGACTAGGCCCATGATTGTCAGTTTTCCTATCGAAGGTTCGTGGTTTTCTTCGGGCAATCCGGCTTCCTCCATCAATAAAAAATGACCGCCACGAAATAGCACAATAGTTGAAAGTGGCGATCAACACCAACAAATCAATCAATCAATCAATTTAATCTGGTGAATTTCCTAGCC